CATGGGAATAATTAAGACTGGAGAGAACATTTAACATATTGCAATTAGTAAAAAAAAAAAAAGTATGTGTATATATATAATTTAAATCAAGTACTCTTGAGGCAGAGCAATGAAAACATATATACACTGTGGGGGGGGTATAAATTGGCACAACACTTTGGAAAGTAATTTGCTATTATAAAGATGAAAGTTTAGTAACTCACTCCCCAAAGAAACCAGATGCATAATTTTCATAGCAGCTGTTTGTTGAAAGTTTCAAACTGAGTATCAGAAGTAGAATGAAAACGAAGTACAACTTTAAGCAAAAACATGACAAATCAAGTTCATGAACATGTTGAATGAAAAATATTCAAGACATGATTAATCAACTTTATGTAAAACTCAAATATATGTGAAACTAAAGAGTACACTTATGAGCTTTGAATAATATACAGAATTGAATAACTATATTGTGCACCTGAAATTAACACTGTTAACCATACATGTTGTAATTAACTATGTTAATTTTAAAAACATGTGGAACAAATTAACATACTGTTTGCAGATATAAACATACATAGTAAAAGGTCAGGAAACAACGGACTATCAAATTGAAAATAGCAGAGGTAACTAGATAGGACCAGGAAGTGAAGAGGTTGGGATTGAAAAGGGGCATAAAGGAAACCTCAAAGGTGTTGGTAATGTTCTATTAACATTAGGGCCAAGCATACATGAGTTTTTTTTCATTATGTTCGATAGTCCTATTTTGTTAAAAGTATAAATATGTATAAATTGTATATTATTTACAGAAGATGAACTAAATAGTATCAGTGGGGAAATGATAAAAGAATATTGAATTGCCAGTATTTTTTTTTAAAGATTTTATTTATTTATTTGACAGACAGAGATCACAAGTAGGCAGAGAGGCAGGCAGAGAGAGGAAGAAGCAGGCTCCCCGCTGAGCAGAGAGCCCGATGCGGGGCTCGATCCCAGGACCCTGGGACCATGACCTGAGCCGAAAGCAGAGGCCTTAACCCACTGAGCCGCCCAGGCGCCCCTGAATTGCCAGTATTAAATAATTTTATGTAAAGACTGAGAGGTATCCTAAGTAATAAAAAAAAAAGAGGGAGGAACATGTGGGATGGAGTAACAGGGTGATGGGCATTAGGAACACATGATGTAATGAGTCCTCTTTAATGGTGTTATATACAACTGATGAACAACTAAACTCTACCTCTGAAACTAACAATACTCTGAATTTAAATAAAACAGAAAAAAGTAAGAAAATCAAATAAGGAAATAGGAGCAGTAAAATGACGGGTAAAACCAATCATAAAATGTTAAGAATTAGCATTGTGCTGGAGGTCCTAGTCTGTGCAATCAGGGGGAAAAAAAAAAAGGAAGAAAGAAGAAAAAGAAAAAAAAAAGGAAAAGGACTTAGACTGTCAAGTAAGCAACTAAAATGTCTATTTGAAGGTAACAAAATCATCTTTGTTGAAAACCCAGTGGACTGTACTTGGGCATAACACTGACAGGATGTTGTACCATGTATACTGAAAACTACAAACATTGCAGAGAGAAGTTATAGTCAAATAAATGGGTACATGGATTAGAAGCCTCAATATTGTCAAGATCTGAATTTTATGCAAATTGATCTAGATTCAATACAACTCCAATCAAAGGCTCGGCAGTGTTTCTTTGTTGTTGATACAGGTCTAAATTTTATGTTATCTACTGAGAGATTCAATTTTCAGAATAGAGAACGCCTAAGAAAGAAAACCTACAGGGCTCAAGCAATTAAGCATCTGACTTTGCCTCAAGCATGACCTGAGGCAAAGGGTCCGCACCTAGTAGGAAATCTGCTGTCCCTTACCCTCTGCCTGTCCCCCACCGCCAGCTCATGCTCTCGCTAACAAACTCTGAAAAAGAACGAATGAACAAACGAACCTAGAAGATCTAAATCAAAAGGGATTGAGAAAGAGATCAGTCCCTAAAATGAAATGAAGGATGGTAGCTTAAGACAGCTATAGGTACAGTGTCCAAACAGGAATAGAGGGATTTTTTTTTTCTACTCCTACATTCCTTCCCATTATTATTAACATAGATTGTTTCAGGGGTACAGGTCTGTGATTCACCCGGCTTACACAACACACAGCGCTCACAACACATTCTGCATCACAACACATTCTGCAACGTCCACCCTCACCCCACCCCAGCAACACTGTGTCCTAAGATTAAGTCTCTTATGGGGGACGCTTGGTTGGTTCAGTGGGTTGGGCCTCTGCCTTCAGCTCTGGTCATGGTCTCAGGGTCCTGGGATTGAGTCCTGCATCGGGCTCTCTGCTCGGAGGGGAGCCTGCTTCCCCCCTTCTCTCTGCTTGTGATCTCTGTCAAATAAATAAAATCTTAAAAAAAAAAAAAAGTCTCTTATGGTTTGTCTCCCTCTCTGGTTTCTTATTTTCTCCCATTCCCCTATTCTTAAGTTCTGCATTATCAGAAGGAAGATGACTTACTGTGTTTACCTAATGTCGTAAGTATATGCTGCATGTATATGGTGGGGGTATTACCTCATATTCCATAATACTAAGTCAACACACAAGATAAAAAGAACAAAACATGTTAGAGAAATATTGACGTAAACAGAATAAAGTGGAAAGGGGCTGCCTTTACAGAGCCCGTAGTCCTGGAATGGTCATGTCTGCCTTTCATAAAGTGTGTGTGTATGTATAGACAAAATGTGTGTGTGTGTGTGTGTGTGTGTGTGTGTGTATATATATATATATATATATATATATATATATATATATAAGAAAAATATGTATGCAATACAGAAAAAAATACTGGACTTTTATTGACAATTACTCTCCAACTGATCCCATAATGTATCTGTAAAACAGGCATTATAACCACATTTTTAAACATTTTTCATTTAAATTTAATTAAACAAATGTATTATTGGTTTCAGAGGTACAGGCCTGATTCATCTGTCTTATATAATACCCAGTGCTCACTACATCATGTGCCCTCCTTATTATCAATCACCCAGTTACCCCATCCCTCCACTCCCCTCCCACAACCCTGTTTGTTCCTATGATTTTAAGACTCTCTTATGGTTTGTCTCCCTCTCTGGTTTCATCTTTTTCCTCTCTTCCCCTATGATCCTCTGACTTGCTTCTCAAATTCCACTCATCAGTGAGATTTATGATTACTATCTTTCTCTAACTGACTGACTTCGCTTACCACAATACCCTCTAGTTCCATCTACTTTGTTTCAAATGGCAAGATTTCATTCTTTTTGATGGCTGAGTCATAGTCCATCATACACACATATATACACACACACTTCTTTATCTAGTCATCTGTTGATGGGACATCTGGGCTCTTTCCATAGTTCAGCTATTGTGGACACTGCTATGAACACTGGGGTGCAGGTGTCCCCTTTTTGTATCTTTGGAGTAAATACCCAGTAGTACAATTGTTGCCTTACAGAGTAGCTCTATTTTCAAACTTTTTGGGGAGCTTCCATACTGTTTTCCAGAGTAGCTGCACCAACTTGCATTCCAACGATGTAGGAGGGTTCCCCTTTCACTATATCCTCGCCAACATCTGTCATTTCCTGACTTAATTTTAGCCATTCTGACTGGTGTGAGGCAGTATCTCATTGCGGTTTTGATTTGTATTTCACTGATGATAAGTGATGTTGAGAACATTTTCACATGAAATTGCTACTGCCACTTGGATGTCTTCTGCCATTTCTTGTTTGGACTATTTGTTCTTTGAGTGTTGAGTTTGGTAAGTTCTTTACAGATTTTGGATACCAGCCCTTTATCTGATCATGTTATTTGCAAATACTTTCTCCCATTCTGTGTCTTTCGGTTTTGCGGTTTTCTTTGCTGTGGAAAAGCTTTTGATCTTGATGAAGTCTGAATAGTTCATTTTTGCCTTTGTTTCCCTTGCCTTTGGAAATGTGTCTAGCAAGAAGTTGCTGCAGCTGAGCTTGAAGAGGTTACTGCCTATGTTCTCCCCTAGGATTTTGATGGGTTCCTGTTTCACACTGAGGTCTTTCATTTTGAGTCTACTTTTATGTATGGTGTAAGGAAATGGTACAGTTTCACTCTTCTGCATGTGACTGTCCAATTTACCCAACACCATTTGTTGAAGAGTCTTTTTTCCCACCGGATGTTCTTTCCTGCTTTGTTGAAGATAAGCTGACCATAGAGTTGAGGCTCCATTTCTGGGCTCTCTATTCTGTTCCATTGATCTATGTGTCTGTTCTTGTGTCAGTACCATACTGCCTTGATGATTACATCTTTGTAACAGTTTAAGTCTGAAATTGTGATGCCACCAGTTTTGGTTTTCTTTTTTTAACATTCCTTTGGCTATCTGGGGTCTTTTCTGGTTCCATACAAATTTTAGGATTATTTGTTACAGCTCTGTGATAAAAGTTGATGGTATTATTTAAAAAAATAGTTGATAGTATTCTGATAGGGATTACACTGAATGTATAGATTGCCCCAGGTAGCACAGACATTTTAACATTTGTTCTTCTAATCCATTATCATGGAACATTTTTCCACTTCTTTGTGTCTTCTTCAATTTCTTTTATGAGGGCTCTGTAGTTTTCTGAGTAAAGATCCTTTATCTCTATGGTTAGGTCTATTCCTAAGAATCTTATGGCTTTTGGTGCAACCGCAAATGGGCATCAACTCCTTAATTTTTCTTTCTTCTGTCTCATTATAACCACATTTAAAAGAAAAAGTAAACTCTACCCGCAACGTGGGGCTCAAACTCACAACCTGAGATCAAGAATTGCAAGTAGTACTGGCTGAGCCAGCCAAGTACCCTATAATTATATTTTTTTAGAAGCTGCTGAAATGAAGATAAAATCATTCTGGTTGTTTAAAGGGAAAACTAAAACAAAACTAAAGCAAAAAGTCAACAACAAAAACCACAACAGAACTTAGTTTTATCCACCACCTGAAACAAACAAACAACGAAAGTAAGAGTTTTACAATAATTCATCATTCAGAATCTGTCACTGTACAGATTTTAAGAGGCTTTGAGTCAGTTCCAGTGTAGAAATAAGGCCAAAGTGTTTCTGTAAAATAATAGTTAAAAATATAGAGAAGGGATCTATCACTCAAATTATAAAAAGAAATCTCACACAATTCACAGTCTAAAAAAATGCCGATTTTTCTAGGTATTACTTTTGGCAGAAGATTGATTTTTTTAGGACCCAATGCAATATAATTACTCTGACTACATCGTCCAACACCCCATAATCCATCCTGTGCTAGAATTGGTTGCTTCTTTCTCCTTCTGGGAAGAGAGTCTTTACAGACACCCACGATCCATTCAGGCTTATCTTTCACTTTCACCTCCCAATACTGCCTGCCAGAATCATAACCCCTAGAACCCAGAACAGCTGGACAGAGATAGAACCTCCTTGGGTTATGAGGTAAGTTATGTCTTTTATTTCCATATTGGACAGTTTTTCTATCTTCTGAGACAATAAGCTTACGATGTGCTGTTTCAGGATCGAGAATTAGATCCACCTGAAATCTGTTGATAATTTTATTTAGGCCAGAATATTGTGGAGCAAGATGGTAACCATATTCCTTTAATTGGAATGAAAAAGGCTCAGGGGCCTTTAAGGTTTTATACCTATGGTAGATACTTTTAACATCTGTCAGTAATTCCAGCTCTGATTTAGTAGATTTACCCTCTATCTCCTTTGATAAATGTTTTAATGTGGAAAGATGACTTGAAAATGTTGTTAGGTTTTCATTTAGTTTTGTTAAAATATCCATTTCTTCATCTTGTAATTGCTGAAGAACCATCTCTTGCTCATTTTTGAGAAACAACAAAATTTGTTCAAATTCAGACTTTATTTCTTCTCTCCTACACTGTACCTTCTTCTTCAGTTCCAATGATTTTCTGCTTTGCATAGTTATCACCTTTTCAACTTGTTCTACTCTCTCCTTCCATGGTTCAATGCAATTCTGCAATCTTTTCCTATGATAAGGAGCAGCCTTCTCTATGGGCCAAATATAGTGACTCCGGTGATCAGTGGAGAAACTACACTGTGGACATAAAACTTCTAGGTCCTTCTGACAGAAAAATGTCAAAACCTGATTATGTTTTTCACATATAAGCTTCTCTTCCTTCCTCTTCCTCTTGCTTCTTCTTACCCGTAGTAGTTTAGCAATTTCAATCAAATTGCCCAATTGGGGATTGTTTGTGAATTTCCTTTCTGGAGAGCAGTAACGGCAAAAGGGGCAGGGGAAAGTACCATTTAGATCCTTCCAGAACATACTGATGCAGGAGAGACAGAAGTTGTGCCCACAGTTGATGGTCACTGGCTCTTTCAAGTAGTCTAGACAGATGGGACAGCTAGCCCCTGTTTGGAGGTCTGCCAGGGCTGTCATAAACTCCATTGAGCTGTGAAGAAAGGTGGTGAGTAAGGTAGTATGTCCTTTAGTAAAGCTTGGCTCTCTATCGCTCAAGATCCAGCTAACGAACAGTGGATGATATCCTCCCACAGACCTTGAAAACTGACCAGCTTCCAGTTTCACTGGATTGGCATGTTGGTAATAGTCTATATAAACCTGTTTATCCCCCTGCCCCTTAGCTCTAAGGTCTTTTGCCAAGAATACTCCACAGGCTGTAGTCTATTGCATACTAGAACGTATCAGCTGGGCTGCTGTTCTTCCCACTCAATGCTATAAAGTCAGGCTTAATGACTTTTCTGATCAAGAAAGCAGCTGTAGTAGCCCTGAAACATAATACATTATATGTTAATAAAAAAGCAAGCAAGCAAGCAAGCAAGCACGCACCTGTAGGTCAAGACTAGGAATCCTTCCTATGGTAAGAAAGACATTAAGTTAAAAATATGACACCACAATCACCAATGTATTGAAACAGTCACACAAGACTCATCAGTAAATGCTAAAATCATTGTGTAGAATCTCTTAAAAAAAAACAAAAAACCAGGAATTCATAGTTATAGTCATTCATCTCACATATTTCAACAGCAGCAACAAAACCTGTAAGATAACCTTACAAAAAAAAATTCCATCTCAATCCAGTCATAAGAAAACAAGTAGTGTAACTTAAATAGGGGGGCATTCTACAAGACAATCCGTATGTATTCTTCAAAATGTAAATGTCATGAAAACACAAAAAAGTTTCAGAAATATGACAGACAAAAATATAATATACAATACCTGATTGAATCTGGGGTCTTAAAAGATAAACTAAAAGAATATTTCTGGGATAAATGGGAGAATTTTAGTTATGAACTACATTTCATATTCTATCAGTATTAAATTGTGTTAACATATTAATTTACCATAGGTTAAGAAGTAAAAACATCCTTGTTCTTAGGCAATATATAGTTCGGGGGGCAGGGACACCATCTTGATGGTGGCAACGTACTTTCAGAAGTCTCAATAATTTTAAGATGTGTTAACAAAAAAGTTAGAAACTGGTGCATCTAAGCAAAAGGTTATCTAAAGGTTTTTCTATAGGTTTGAAATGTTCAAAATAAAAGAGTTAGGGAGAGGGGCACCTGCGTGGCTCAGACAGTTAAGCAACCGCCTTTCATCTCAGGGTCCTGAGATTGAGCTCCATTTTGGGCTTCCTGCTCAGTGGGACATCTCTTTCTCCCTCTCCCTGTGCTGCTCCCCAGTTTGTACACTCTCTTGCTTGTGCTCTCTCTCAAATAAACAAAATCTGAAAAAAAAAAAAAAAAAAAAGAAAGAAAGAAAGAAAAGAAAAGGTAGTGAGAAAATTTCCCAGCTTGTTTTTTAAGATACCCAATACACCTGGAGCGCCTGGGTGGCTCAGTCAGTTAAGCATCTGCCTTCAGCTCAGGTCATGGGATCGAGCCTTGCATTGGGCTCCCTGCTCAGCAGGAACCCTGCATCTCCCTCTGCCTGCCTCTTTCCCTCCCTCCTTCTCCCCCCACAGTTAAGTAAAATCTTTAAAGAAAAAAGTCTATTACATTTGAATCCTGGTTCAGCTACTTAGTGTATACTTCAGGAAAACCCATATAGCTTTTTTTAATCCCATTTCTTTGATCTATAAAAATGGGGATTGTTGACATTTATTTACTTCCTTATTTATTTAGGTTTTCCTTATTTGACCGAGAAAGCGTGCACAAGCAGGGGGAGTGGCAGGCAGAGAGAGAGGGAGAAGCAGGCTCTCCACTGAGCAGGGAGCCTGATGCAGGGCTCAATCCCAAGGACCCTGAGATGATGACCCATGCCAAAGGCAGACGCTTAACTCAGGTTCCCCTATAACCCCCTTTTAAATAAGGAGATCACATAAATGGCAGCCAACGTGTTTACTGTTCTTGGCCAATAAGCTATTTATTAAAGATTTTATTTTTCACATTATCCCAACATTCAACGTGGGGCTTGAACCTACAACCTCGAGATTAAAAGTCACATGCTCCACCTACTGAGCCAGCCAGGTGCGGTGCCCCACCTTTCTATTTTACATTTATTTGAACCTGGATCCAAATATGGCCCACATGTTACATTTACTTATTAGCACCCCTAAGTAACTTTCAATCTATAATAGTGTCTTCTGCCTCTACCTTTGTCCTGGTGGACTATCCCAAGTTCCACATTTACCTAGTGCTTCTTGCTATATAATTTTAACTTATCCCTCATACCATGACTGTTTAAACGATTAAACCTTTCCTCTCAGTTAAAAACCTGTCAGTAACTCACCAACAGTCAAGACAAAGCACTCCCCTTGGCTTACCATTCAGAGCCCTTCACCCTTCATACCTTATTGTTTTCATCTTCACCTGCCTATGGTTCCCGAAAGCAGTTTTTTTCCTTTTCTTTTTTTTTTTTTAAAACAGAGATGTTATGTTCTCCTTCCTGCTTAAATGACTCAACTGGTTACATTACCTTTTCCTCCCTTCTTTCCTTGGGACTAAGTTCTGCTCCTTTTGGAGACTCCAACCAAGACAAATTTTCTCTAAGACGGTTTAGTATGTGTTAGGCACTAAGCTAGGATCTTTCATGTAGTCACTGATTCAATTAAACTCTCCGAACAACCCTATAAATTAGGAGCTATTATCCTCAATTAGAGCTGTAAAAAACGAGTCTGCAATAATCTGAGTACACGCATACAACACTGCATTAATTGGCACGATGATTACAAAGCTATACTGTCCCTCCTTCACACTCCCGCAGAATCCTCTGCATCCCTCTTCATCTATTTCAAAGCAACTTATATTTTTCATATTTGATATAGTCACAATTCTTCACATTTGATAACATACTCAAACACTTTTAGGAGGAAGGACAGGGCTTTATTGATTCTAGCACTATCAGAGCAAAAACATAACACACATCAAGAAACAGCAATACCGTATAGAACTGGGTCTCCATCTGACTCTGCCACTTAACTAGCTGTATGCCCTTGGCCAAATTAATTTCTCTGAACTTCAGTTTTCTTTTCACAAAGAAAGAAATAATACTATCTCATATTGTAATTATTAAACATGGAAATAAAATTAACGCACATGTCACAGTGCCTGCCATTTAACAAAGGTGCAATAAAAAGTATAAGACAGCTCATAAAATCTCAAAAGCTCTCAGAAATCTAGCAGAAATCACATACTTCTATTACACATAAAGGCATACCTCATTTTATCATGCTTTACAGGACTGTACTTTTCATATACTGAGGTTTTTTTGGATTGTTTTAACAAACTGTGGTTGAACAGATTGAGAGTTAGTAGCTGCTTGGGGCGCCTGGTTGGCTCAGTGGGTTAAAGCCTCTGCCTTTGGCTCAGGTCCTGGTACTGGGATCAAGCCCCGCATCGAGCTCTCTGCTCAGCAGGGAGCCTGCTTCCTCCTCGCTCTCTCTGCCTGCCTCTCTGCCTACTTGTAATCTCTGTATGTCAAATAAATAAATAAATAGATCTTTATAAAAAGAGAGTTAGTAGCTGCTTATGGACAAGGAGAAAAAAGTCGTTTCTTGAGATGCAACCCACTCCTGGTAAAGGTGCTATGAAGACTGTTGAAATGAATTTAGAATATGCCATAAACTCAGTTGACAAAGCAGTAGCAAGGTTTGAGGATAGACTCTCAATTTTTAAATAATTTCTACTGTGACTACAATGCTATCAAACAGTATCACATGTCAACAGAGAAATCATTCATGAAAGAAGAGTCAAAGTGGCAATTTCTACTGTCTCATTTTAATAAACTGCCATAGCCACCCCAACCTTGAGTAACCACCACCCTTATCAGTCACCAGCCATCAAACAGAAGCAAGATCCTCCACCAGCAAAAAGATTATAACGCACTGAAAGCTCCAATGATGGTTAGCATTTTAGCATTAAATTATTTAAAGTATGTACACTGATTTTTTTAGACATAAGGCTATTGCACACTAAAGTACAGGGCAAACATAACTTATATGCACTGAGAAACAAAATTCGTTTGACTTGCTTTCTGACAGTGGTTTGGAACTGATCCCACAGTATCTCTGAGTCGTGCGCGTGCGCCTGTGTAGGCACGTAATATAAAAAGTACTGATATTAAACCTAAAAGTTGCTCTGTCTCATATAGTTGCTAAGTCCTTCGTGACAGGTAAAGGCATTAGCTTCCACCAGGTTCACTATAATAATGGGATGTAGGAAATTTTCTTGCACTGATTTTGGAGGCACAGGAGAGGAGCTTCAGAATTTTAAAATGAACTTTTAATTCTATATTAAAATACATTCAATTTGTAATAAATTCCAATAACACGGAACTACAGAAAATAAAGCATAGTCTCTTCCAAGCTACTCTTCCTACTTGTCCACACTATGTTGTACCTAATGACTAAGGCTTCAACGACTTCTCATACTTGCTTAATACTTTCAAAATGGAGGGCGCCTGAGTGGCTCAGTTGGTTAAGCATCTATCTGCCTTTGGCTCAGGTCATGATCCCAGGGTCCTTGGATGCAGCCCCACATCAGGCTCCCTGCTTAGCAGGGAGCCTACTTCTCCCCCTGCGTGTGCACTCTCTCTTGCTCTCTGATAAATAAATAAATAAAATCTTGAAAAACAGAAAAACAACTTTCAAAATGGGTACTTTTTTAAAAAAAGTTTTTTATTTAAGTAATCTCTACTCACACATGGGGCTCAAATTCACAACCCCGAGATGAAGAACTGCAGGCTCCTGAGCCCCCAAAACAGGTACTTCTGAGTAAGCTAAGATGTGGAGTGCATTGGGTTCAGGGTGAGGCTGCATAGAATGGTCAGAGATTAGAAAACGCGCTGAAATAGTTTTAAGAATCTTGCCCAATATAACAGCATACTGAATTGCAGAGGATAATGGGAAAATAAAAATCAAGAAAAAAAATGTAACTTTTTAAAAAAGTTATGTGCAAAAAAAGAGGACTCAGTAGGGTTCAAGGAACATA